TTTCTACCCTTCCCTGATAATTAAGTCTGCCAAAATGGCATTCATTTATCAGTCTCACTCTTACCTCCCCTTGCCACAAGCCAAATGGCAGGGCGAGGCAATGAAAAGCTCATAATATAGCAGAGAAAAGCTTCTAAGAATGTAAGCAAATCCTAGTTCAGCTATGTGAGGAGGGCTTCTGCTGCTAGGGCTCCAGGAGGTTCATACTGGCAGAGACTAACCTCTTTGGGGCTCTAAATGTGATCGCCAGGAAATTCAGCACTGGTTGCCTATGCATCCGAGTTAGTTCTATATGGTCTAATTGCCCAGTGCATGGATGGGAAACCTAGGATTGACTCTGCCCAACCAATTGTTATGGATGATGCCCACTGCAGTTCAGCTGGTAATCTGCCCAGAGACACTGGTAATTGGATGGCATACAAATTTCATAAATAAATAAACAAACAAACTTCATCTGGAGATCCTCTATTCCTGGCTTGTCCCTGCCGACAACCAGAGTGTTGCATCCTGAACCAAATGAAGTTTTCAAATGAAAAGCACCCCTACCAGAATGCATCACCATAGGAATGTCAGAGAGCAGACTTCCAGATGGACTTCAGTTCCCAGCATTCCTCTCTATTGGTCAAGGTAGCAAGGACTTCTGGGAACTGAAGTCCAACCCATCTAGGGATTTACATTCTGCCCCTTGCATTGCAGTAGTTTACTCTAGATCTAATCAGGATATGAACAATTGCAGTATGGCCTACTTTCTCTAGACGGGGACACAGCCGAAACAACTGAAACTGATGTAGCATCTGTTACCAGGTGGTGACATTTGCTTCCACAGAAACTGCCAGATTCAGGAAAAGCCTGATGCTGCAGACTTGGCTTTCCAGGGAGAATGCAACCCCATCCAACACCAGATCTCAACCCCATCCACAATATTTCTGCTTTTTCTGAATTAAGGATGAGTTTCTTTGCTTGCTTGCTTGCATCCCAAACTACTTTCATACTCTAGACTGGAGTCATAAACACAAGGCATACCCTCAATCCTACCTTGTATCAAAAGCTAGTCAGAAGTCCATGACAACAAGCAGGGTTGCACTCCCTCAGCTATTCTCTGATTTAAGTTATTTGTCAGGGCTGCTTCTGTCCTAAAACCAGGCAGTAAACCTGCATGGAGCAGATCCAAATGATTATCATCCAAGACTACCTAGTGTTATAAAGGCGCCACCTTTCCCAGTATCATATCCAACCAGAGTTCACTGGATACCAGACACTAATTATTCAGAATTGAGGGATCCACATCTGGGGATTTTAAACAAAGCTTTAACCATTTCATTAGCCACTGCTGCGATCCAGATTTTAAGCCCGATCTTGCTTTGTTTCAATGTCTAGGAAGAATATGGACTCAAAGGGCAGGTCTCAAACTTCCAAGTTACTTCTGCACATCATCAAGCTGCATGAGCTGAAATCTGTCCCTACTAACGTGACTGGATATAGCCCTAGCAGTATCCATCTATACCCCTGTCAAAACAATGGCATCCATGCTGAAACAAATGAAAATGGTTTTGTCAGCAAAAGACAATGCAGATCTGTCACATGATGCTTCAAGGGCTCCCTCTGAACTCCAAATCGTACAGAGATCAAGCTTATTTCAATGGGATCAGTGAAGCACTTTTGACAATGCACCAAATCAATGGTAGCAGAGTAGTTAGCTTCTTCACAGCCATCACTACTACAACATAAGTACCAATGATTTTTCACCTGTGTTCAATTGTACTCATGAGAGGTGTTCTGTTACTTGTACTCTGGCTGTTGTACTAGCCATTCCATAGTCCTCAGTTTCTTGCAATATCAAGGTGCTGATACAGTTCTATGACTAGTTTAAACTGTGGGAGTAATTATAATATTGGCCTGTGTCATCTCCCTATTCCACAGAGAGACCAAGGCCTTGACAGAACTGCCAGGTAATAACTTAGGAAGCCTTCCAACACCTCAGGAAAGCCTTCCAACACCTCCTACCATGCACATTAGGTTAAATTTTTCTGAGGCGAGAAAATGGTTGCCTTAGTAGCCAAGTAATCTCAGGTAAGATGCCCTTGTAATACATATTGAAAACTACCAAGTCTACACATCTTGGAGTCCTAAATCTCCCCTCCAAAGCCACTTCTGTTAGCTTGGACAGCAGGGTGGAAAATACACCAACATAATTCCCATTGTCATTCAAATTCCCAACACCAGGTACAGACCCTTGGAAAGCATCTTGTTCAGGGAGATGGAAACCTTATAGACCAAGTGGGATACACTTCATCCCAACCCCCTCTTAAGCTCTACTTGGTGCTGCACTCAAAAACCTGATGAATAATCTGGGAAAAATTGTCCCCACCCGGATTCAAGCAAATTTCAATCAGTTACACACATCTGGTCAGCAAGTTCTTCCAGGAATAGGATTGCTCTTCTGAGGTGATTCTGTATGAGTCAGCAGAGTTATCAAAGCTTGAACCAGAAATGGAAGTGGCACATAGACTCACTTCTCCCTGTATCCAATATCCATGTTCACTCCATCATTTTCACCAGGCTGTGTGCATTACAGTCACTGTGACAGCAACAATTCAATGTAGCACACAACACCTAAATGCATTTTCAACAGCTGTTCTATTTCCTGTCTGTGAGAGCAATCCCCAGCTGGACTAGATATTTATTGGCTTCCCTGCTCAAAGGAAGACTTCAGTTATAACTTACAATGCCCTAAATATTAGTATTGTAGAGAACATGTTCTCACATGAGCTTGCCTTTTCCTTAAGAGTTTCTCAAGAGGCATCACCACAGATGCACATTAAAAACATGAAGTGCCAATACGGAGTAGATCCTGCTGTTTTCATGGATTCACTCAACAGCACTTCATAGCTTTAGATGAGTGGCATGCAAGTTGTAAGGACGTACAACTTCCATCAGTCTTAGGCAGCATAGCCAATAGTGACCAATGATGAGAACTGAGGCCCAAACATCTGGAGGGACACAAGTTCTCCACTTCTGCTCTAGAAACGTCTGAATGAAACATTATGTTCTGTCTTGTCTTTCTGGGTAAGCAATTGCACTTGGAGACTATTCTGTTTTGAGGGCTCAGTTGGATGGCTCATTTAGGGCATCAGTGCCATAACTTTACAGCTAATACTTCACTGGTCTGTTTTTCATTGTTTCTAGTGTTGCTTGTACTCCTTGGATTTTTAAAGCTATTATTGACTATATTGTTCACTGAAGAGTAACCTTAAAAAGAAATCAAATAAAATGCTGGTCTACAAATACATTGCACCCAAGTCAGAAATTTCTTATCAGTAGAATCAGTACAATCATGGTGCACTTTTGAATATGGTGAGCTTAAGCTGAGTTTTTGAGACAGACAAACTGGCAAGTGATACAGGCGAACAAGGCTTTTGAAAAATCATATACTATTGGTATTATGACAGATCCAGCAGTTTATTGGTGTGCTTCTAAAAGGAGAATGTGATCTATTTTTTAAAAAATGGACAAAAATAGAATCTGGCAGTATTCATACTATGGGTTTTATTTTGGCATTGTAGGGATCAGAATATGCCAAATTTATTATTCTTGTGGTAGAGACAGAGAAAAATACCATTTATATTTGCCGAAAGTGGCATTTGCTGAAAGTGTATTTTAAAATTCAAGAGGATGCTGGCATAATCCATCCTGGCATAACTCCCACAATGGATATAGGTGCTTTTGGCAGCATAAATACTGAAGTTTATTCAAAAACTTTGGGGAGAAGAAAGATAGCATTGAAATGTAACTGGTCGAATACAATTTATATTTTAAATTTAGGTTCCATTGCTTTTGAAGAAAAGCAACCAACCTGGCAGCACCCATTTTCCAAGTCAGGTTCAAGTTTTACTGTTAGCTGTTAAGTACTTCCTACAAAGCATGATACAAAGAGAGTTCTATTTCTTTCCTCCAGTTCACTGTTGAGAGAGAGAGAGAAAGAGAGAGAGAGAGAGAGAGAGCAAGCAATTAACCTGCTTAACATACTTTTCCCCAAATGACACATGGCCATAGCCCTGTCCACAGTGCCAATTTGCTGGCAGCAAATGACAGTCTCTGAATCCTGCCCCAGCTTCTGCAGGTTCAGTAAATTCTTATTTCTCCTGCAGAAGACCTGTCCTATATTCAGGTATTTTAAGCAAGTATAAAGCCCAAAGTCAGCTTCTCCTTTTTCCTGCAACTTATATGCACTCAAGTAGAAACGAAGTTCCAGGAAATGGACAGATTCACTCCGCAGTTTCTCTGAACACACCAGAGAGACACAGAAACTGCACAGCATGACAGAAATTAACCCCTCATTAGCATCTCTGCAAGATATAGAGAAATGTAAACGCCTCACACTCACAGACTCGCCTACAGATGCGAGATCAAAACGATTAAGAATCAAAAGGCAATACTCTGGGAGATCACTTGACATATCCTGAAAGTTCAAAGTCCTGGAGTTGTCATGTTCTGGAACAAAAGTTCCATTATTTTAAATGGTTTCAGAGAAAGCAAATGACACCTGTCAACTTTAACTTAAGAGAGTGGGCATTGAACAGCATACGCCTGGAGTTTTAAAGGGACCAGTGAAAGCTGGTTTATCTGCAGACCTCAGGTTTCCACGCCACTCTGCTGCTACCAGTGGCAATCCGCCGGCCCCCCCTGCCCAGCGCCCGGCAGCCTAAATGAGACCCCCTCCCCTTTTTAACAGGGCCACCTGAGCAGAGTCCCTCAAGCAGGCAAAGACGACGAGACACCACCGGCCACTCTGAAGCCACGATTCCTTCCTCTCTTCCGTGCATAAAGAGAACGGCAAGACCACCGCACCTATGCGCCTCCGCTGGCCTCAGGCAACCCCACGGCACGCACACACAAGTGTGTCCACCTGTCATTTGCCCAACAGGGGGCTCAGCAGCCTCGCACCCCAGCCGCGAGGGGACACCGAGCCAGGGAATGCCAGGCGCCGCAGGTTCTCTTACCTGTGGAGCCGAGTAGAGCAGCCACAAAGTGACTGACACGATGGGGGCAACTGTCCGGCTGCACTGCTGCCCCACCGGCGCTGCCATAGTCCTCGCCCTCCTCCTCCTCAGCTCCAAGGGCGGGAAAAGAGGGAGGCGCGCAAATTCTGTCCGGGACCCTCAGGCAGCTCCCGCGCCAATTAATCCCTGCCAAGGCGGCCGCGCGGCTTCTCTGCCCCGCTCCTGCAGCCGAGCTTTCCCAGGGAGCTCCCTTGCTGGCCAGGGATGGGGCACGCGCTCGGCGGAGTGGTACATGCGGAGAGGCCGGGGCGGGGGGGGGGGGGGGGGGGAGCGGCGGCGGTTGGGGGGCTGGGGGGGGCGGGGGGGGGTGTTGCTGCTGCTGCTGCCCCCCCCCCCCCCGCTCCTTGGTGTCAGGCTCGGTGGAAGGCGGAGGAGAGTAACAAACACCATTCGCCATGGGGCTTGCCTCTCCCCCCCCCCCTTCTTTCTTTTTAAACGCCGGGCTTTTCGCCTTCGAAGTAACTTCAGGCGCTCAAGGCACATTGTTACCATTTTTTTATTTTTTTATTTTTTTGAGAAAGTTTGTCGAGCAGGCGGGCGGCTCAGTGGGAAAGGGCCTCGCCTGTCTTGCAAGTCTTAAAGAGATACCGCTGCTTTCCCCTTAGGGTCTCTCTCTCTCTCTCTCTCTCTCTCTCTCTCTCTCTCTCTCTCTCTCGCCGCCGCCGCCGCCGCCGCCGCCCTCAGTTCGCCGCTTTCTACAAGGCGCTGCCAGGCAATTCCCTCGCGCCCCAGTGCAGCGGCGAAGTCCACGCGGGGACGCGCGGCTTGTGCACGCCCAGCTGGGCTTAAAGATCCGTTAAGTAAAAGAGTCTCCAAAAACCCGCGTGGTAGCAGGCAGTGCATTTACAGCATGCACGTTTCGGGGCACCTCATCCGTTTAAGACTTTTTCGGAAGACGCCTAAAGCTGCGGTTCTGTCCACACTTGCTTGGAAATCAGCCCGGAGTACCGTTTGGCTACCTGCACGCAGCACAGAAGAATTAAAGAAGCTGTCATTCTGCGACGGGGTTTAGATGTCGCACTAAATATAACAGGAATGGACTGCACGGTTTATGTTTAATTTTAAAAAGATACCATGCCAGTGTGTTCAACAGGTAACTTCGCAAACGATTTTATTGTATAGGTTCACCTCGGAGGCAGAGGGACTTCCAGACAAGGCTTTTATAGCTTAATTACTCTGACAAATTCTTGGAATTTTATAGGGATCCGAGACTGTTTGGCCTTCCACTTGTAACCAGCTGTGCTTTGCCTCTACAGCTTCTGGGTGCTTTCAGATGAAGCATTTGTTATGTAGTCAGCCTGCCTGCCCCCTTCATGCAATGCTGTGTTAAATACCCGCTGTGCAGCTTCTGCTGCTGATTTCTGAGTAGATCCTTGGGACACAGATCTAGATTGCGGCCATCATGGGTAGGGAAACCTTTCCACCCACCCACTTAACACCCCGTGCCACTTTTGTAACCTGTGGTCTAAAAAAGCACAAATCGAGCTCCTTTGCACGATCAGATGCTAAGTTTAAACCACAATCTAGAAATAGGAACATTTTAAACTGCACATTCCTCAGAAGTAATCCCATTTACCTGGTTTGTGCAATCAAAAAAGCCTGCTGTGGTTTGGTTAAGCCACAATATGCTTGGCATGGGCCAAGCAGGATTTGCCTATGAATTGCTCAGCTATAGCCTGTCCTGCCAGGCAAACCCAGAGACCATGGCTTACATGAGGGTTGTTTAGCCCTCACAGCATCACAGCCACAGCATCTGGGTTCACTTGATGTGACAAACTATGGCTGAGCACTCAGTATGCAAAATGGCTGCAAGCCTCACAGTCCTCTGGGGCTTAAATAAATCACAGTTGGATGTTTAATTGTGTGAACTGCCCAAGGATTCAATGGGACATATGCCAAAGTCTATATACCAGGAAAGAATCATCTGATAAATATTTGTAAGACTGCACAGCAGTAGTCCAGAAATAATATAAATAAATAGGGGCAGCTTTAGTATCTACCAGTTACACTTTGAAAAGGATACCTGCCACTGAATATTTTTCATGTAACAAAAGAACCGAGGTGCATCCCACCTCCAACAGCACCCTACCTCTAGTCCTGGAAATGGACAGGCTACCACCCTACATGTAACAGCCATCGTTACTGAAACGGTTTCTGTAGAGTTTTTGTGGCTGATTTTACCCCTCCTATCCAGTTCTCTGCGTGTGACTTATAAATTGGGTTGGTTTGGCTCTCTGGCAGTTCTTTCATGGCCATTGTTCGAAATATGGATCATTGCCTGAACAGTTCACATGCTTTCTGTGGAAGTTCTGTGGCTTATTGCATCACTTCTAGCTAGCCTTAGCTGGCTGATGAATTTGGTTGGTCTCAGTTGCTTGGAAGTCAGTGTTCTGAGCCATTTGGTTTTGCTCCAAATGGGTTCTGAGCATGGGGTGGAGGTAACAATATTCCAGGGATTTCAGGCCTCAAATATTGTTCTCTGGTGTCTTTGTTTTTGGCTTGGGGGCGGGGGTGAGATGAGTATTCTAGTCTGTTTTGTTCCAGCTTTTGCATTGTCCTATCCTATTGTCTTGCATTGCGTATAGGGGGACTATAATAATTCAGAGTGTAGCCTCATTTCTTCTGAATTTCTTTAAGATTATTAATACTTAAAATAGTCATTATTTTAAAGGAACAGAAGGAAGCATGCTACAAATGTATATATTAGATTTCAAGATAAGGTATGAATATTGGAAGTAGACATCTTTGGTAAACTGATGAATGTTGATAATGCGTAACTGTGCACCAACCAAGAACTAATCTAACATGGAAAACAGCAGATTGCTTACTTCATAGTACTGAGCCAAAGCTAGACTTGTTAATAATAATATAAAATCAGCAAACCTAATTATGCTTACCTGGGAGTAAGCCCCACGTGTGCTTAGTGGGACTTACTCCTGGGGAAACATGCCTGGGAGTAGACCACAATGATTATTCATAAAAGAATTGCTGTTTTGCATTGGCCACAATCCAGTAACTGCAACCTGACACAGAAATGAAGCAGGTGAGGCTTTTCTAGACACATCAGTAATGTGGAATCTTCTATTGGTCTTTAATCTTTTCTTTTGGGCTGTTATTAAAGAGAAAGATTCAGAATCAGTAAAAACAGCAACCCCTCCCTCCCCATGCACCCACACACACAAGCACACACACAACGCTTCAGAGCTGCAAGAAGTGAAGACATCTGAAGATCTAGGCAGTCCTTATTTAGGAACTTGCTAAGTCTCTTAAACAGTTTTGATTCTTATTTTTAAAAACTTTGGACTATATATCAAGCCAGACATCTGTTAATGAGAAAGTCGCAAGACACATTTCTAACAATAAAAAAAAAGAAAATCAACCTGGACACGTTTGTGTTGGCAGCCTGTGAAAGATTCGGCTTGGATCCCCAAAGCCTCTTGCAAAACCACAAGAAAATGTATTATTATTATTACACACATTTCTCAGCTCCCATCATGAGTATATGTGAACACTCCCTTAGCATCTGGGCATATAGTATTTACATACTTGGATTATCCATGGAAAATACACACCTCACTGAAGAGCCAAATACATCATATGGGAATCCTAAATAAAACTATTTGGTGATTAAGCAGCCTGCATGCAGACTGAAGACAAGCACTGCTCTCTTCATCTTTTGTGCACTATGTCAGCTGTAACTAAGACACTTTTTGCCTCCTCCCACCCCACAGAGAAGGTGAGGTGGCTTTTAATATTTAAATTCCAGCATCAGCCTCTAGAACTGACTAAGCAATAGGAAGGTATGCGATATTAAATACCTTATTTAATCTCGTAAATCAACCTTTGTTGTGTGCATGATGAAATCTAAGCAAGTGCTTCATAAAATAAAACCCCAAGATATATATTCAGCAAATCAATGGCTGCATGCCCCCCCCCCCCCCGCGAAATAAACTATGGCTAACTAAAGAGAAAAATACCCTGCCTTGCATTTCCCCATAACACACATTTATAATTCTGCGGCTGAAAATGGTTTCTGCCCTAGAATGATGCATTTTGAAATTCCACCGAAATAGCACAACCCTTTTGCTCTATAGGATGTCCTGGTTTGGCAAGAATAAGCCATTTACTTCATTGGAGAACTGTTTATGGCATTGTCACCTAATGGCTAGATTAGGACAACATTTGAGACCCACTGAGGCCCAGATTACACCCTTTAAATATTTGAAAGCGACAAAATACACACAGTCTTTACACATACCTTAAATACTGATGCCTTGAGCCTATTTTCTCCTAATTCTCACTCAGGAGGGCATTCAGATGAATTTGAGTGTGTGTGTTTTGTTTCATGGAGGCGTTTGAAGTTATATGATTTACAGGGAGGTGAATAATGCACTGCAGAAAAGACAAGGAATTTGCTTCTTTTGACAGTGAATGAAAATCATCTTTCCATCTTAACTTACTGTGGAAAAGATGAAAGAAATGGACACCAGTTTTGTGGCTGCAGTGGTTACTTATCTACAGGTATGGGCCTGATGTAATTGCTTACCTAAGGGAGGGCACAGCAGCACCTCCTGCCACTGTAGCTTGCCCATGGAGCTGGCTTGGTTGTCCATGCCAGATTCGCCCGCTGGAATTGTCAGGTCAGGCCTCAGCCTGCTGCTCTGGAATAGCACCTGGGTTTAGTCTCCACATTGTTTTGATTCCCAGCAGTTGCCAAAATCACCCAGGTGGTTCCCAGCCAACTTTCAGATTTTCAGTTATGAGATGTTTGACTTCATTTGCTATGGACCTTAATTCCCCCTTTTTTTCAAGCTGCTGAAACTATAATAATTTGCTGTATATGTTCATATGGGAAAAAATGTCTAGTACATGATGAATGCGAGGACAGGGACATAAAGATCACTTCTGTGCACTCCAAGTTTTGGGCCTTTCATGCATTCCAATAGGATTGCATCCTTCATCACCAAACAACTCAGAGTGCCAGGTTTGTTCATCACAGGAATAATCCATCAGCAGGTTCTTTGTCACAAAAAGCAGTAAATGTACCACTGTGGTGTGGCAGTTGAAGGTGTGGAACTGGGACTCAGGAGATCTGGGTTCTCTTCCCAGCCATGGAGCTAACTGAGTGACTTTGGACCACGCATAGACTTTCAACCCAA